GGTATAAATAATTTAACCTATTCATGGATTAAAAGCTATCTTACTGATAAAAAGCAATATTTTTATTATGTACAATCCAGAATACTAAGCGTTGTATGCGGAGTACCGTTGTATGCGGAGTACAGGGATCAAATCTTGGTCCGCTTCTATTCTTAATTTATATAAACGACTTTTGTAATGCGTCATTAACGCTGAACTCAATAATGTTTGCTGACGATACCAATCTCTTACCAATAATGATATAAAACATTTATATGCTGATATGAATACGGAGTTAACAAAAGTAAATATTTGGTTTAGGGCAAATAAAATTTCACTTAATGTTGAGAAAACAAATTATATTCTATTTCATAAAAAAACACAAGAGTTGAACATTCCACTTAAGCTGCTCGAACTCTTCTTAAATGATAAAACAATTAAAAAACAATTAAGCATAAAATTCTTAGGAATTTTTGTCGATGAAAATTTATCCTGGCCAGATATCCCCAGATAAATTATATCCAGTCTAAAATTACCAAAACCATTAGCGTTATGAATCGAGTTCGCCCATAACTCAATATGTCAAGTCTTAAATTGATATATTTTGGACTAATTCACTGTTTCATAAATTATGCAAACATATCATGGGCAAGTGCGCAACCAACTAAACTCCAAACAATTTATAGGCTGCAAAAACATGCTTGCCGAATCATATACTCTAAACACAAACAAGAACATGCAAAACAATTATGAAAGATATGAAAATGATGGATGTGTTTGAAATAAATACCTATCACCATCTAATTTTTATGTATAGATACAGTATTGGACAAAACATTTGCAACCAACATCGAACAATGCTAAAAAGTGTTCCTAATTTTACATGTCTTAAAAACGAAACGAACTATACTACCTCAGCAAACAGTTCAGGAGTCTGGAGCCATAGCATGCCTTTACATGAGCAATCAGCTGACAGGTGACAGCACACAGGTAGAATTTCGTTGACAAGTGCTATTTTACAGCGGAAAAAACAAGTGCAACTTTTTTGGTTTGTTTCATTTTCTTAAGTCTGGTCCATGTCAACGTCACGGAGGTTTTTTAATAATTAAAGGAAGTTTCCAGAAGTTTCCAGAAGCATGCAGAAGCTTCCAGAAGTTTCCAGAAAAAGCATCTGGAAGCATTCAGAAGCATCCAGAAGCATCCAGAGATATCCAGAAACATTCAGAAGCATCCAGACGCATCCAAAAGCTTCCAGAAGCATCAAAAAGAAGCATCTAGAATCTTCCAGAACAGGTTCACACAGGTTCATTTTATTATATAAGAGACATGTAAACCGACATGTAATTCAGTCAGTATATGGAAGTCAATCAGTCAGTATTATCAAGACAGTTTATCGAAGTGAGTTTTATCAAAGTGTTTTATCGAAGAACATCAATACAAGAAGTGAAATATATTAGTTAGAGTTAGATTTAAAGAAAAAATTTCGCTTGCAATTGGTTTACTATTTCCAATCTTTTTTTTTCAAAAATTGCCGTTTTTTAAGATTTATAGACTGTTTATTGAAAAAAAGGGCTTTTGGGGTAATTTGGAAATATTTTCAAGGAGCAAGTTGGCTCATAACATTTTCTATGGAAAAAAATATAAATATTTTTATAAAATTAATTTTAATTTTTAACTTTATTGAAAAAATTCATTTTTTACAAAAATTAACAGATAAAAAATGGACTACTGTTTTGGCCTGTTATATGAAATAATATTTGGTACCAGCTAATAGTAACATTAAATTTTTGGCCTAAAATTATTGCTAAATTAAATAGTAAAAAAAATTATATAAACTTTGTACTTAACAGTACATAAATATTCATTATTGTATTTTACACCAACTTACCCCGGGGTGAGGTAAGTTATCTAATTTTTTTATTTTTTTTGAGGCCCCAGAAGAGCCCTATGAAGGGCTCCAAGTTCAAAATGTTACCTAATTTCATACTCTTTAAGATTTGTGCTTTAATATTTACAAAATATTTTGCCGCTTGGGATACAGAGCTCGAAGAGTAAAAAAGAGGCAACTAGCCCCGGTCTCCTATAGACGTTCATTACAAATTCACTAAAACAATGTTTTTTCCTTTACAAAACATGTTTGATTACATTTACTTGAATTACAGTAACAACAGAGTGCCAGGAGATTTTTCAGAATCTTGGTGATGATAAAAATTTCTATGCTGTAAAGTTAGAGTTAAAGAAATATCTATCGAGAGTTTATACAAACAAAAACAACTTGATACAGACTAGAACAAAAAACAACTTGATGCAGACTAGAACATTTTTTTGTTTAAAAATGGTAATAATTAGTTGCTTTATATAATGCAAATTTATTAGCAAACATTAAAAAAAATTGTTTATAAGGACTTAATAACTTTAAACAATTAGATTTGCAAAAGCTTTCTTTAAAAAGTTATTAAGGCATACTTAACATTTTAACGTTAGGTTAAACTTCGAAATGTTAAGAAAATATTTTTTCACAGATAAAGATTTATAAAAACAAAGTTTCTTAACATTTTAATGTTAGTAAACACAAACGCGTTTTATTAGAACTAAATATAGAAAGAAGTTTGGAACATTTTTTTCATCAGACAAAAGCATATATTTTGATATTAATATTTTTAATTCTTAATTTAATTGGTATTTTAATTTATTTACGTATTTTTAGTAGTTAAAAATGTATTTATTTTTTAACTAATGAAATTATTACACTTTTTTGTTGAATTTCTCGAACAGCTAAAGATATTAGGAAAGTATTTTTTTTAAAGAAAAGTAAAAAGTTTTCATGTTCTACATCTAGTTTTATATAAATTAAAAAACAAAATTTTGTTTTTTAATTTGTTAATTAATTTAATTAGTTACCTAAAAAAACTAAATTTTGTGTATTAATATTTTAAATGATATTCATGACATCATTCAAACGATGTAGCTGTGCATCAAATGAAAGACTGAAGTTAATCATATTACAATGAAAAAATTTATTTAAGTTACAAATTCTATAAGCAAAAACAAGACAGATAGTAAAGTTCAGTGAAGATTTAATAGCCGCAACCACATGTAATAGCTTTGTGCGTGTCAACTATTGGACATATTTGGAACTTTAGGTAACTCACCAAGATAAACACCAAAAATTAAAATGCAATTGGTTTTCCAGTCCAAATAACAAATATCCTTATTTTTTTTAAATTAAGTTAAAAATATGAACGGTAATTATACTTTATTATTTCGATGGTCAATGGTCAATCATACTTTAATATTTCAATATATTTATTGGTTATGAGAACATTGCTTTGTGAGGTCATTGCAATTATGAGCATATCAATAAATTAAATTAAAACCCTTCGCAAATAATGAAAAAAATCTTTGCTTTTATTTGTTATAAATATTGTATAAAAATGACGTAGCTTTAACTTCGAGCGAGCGCTGGGGACAATACTCAAAAAACCGTAAATCTTAAAAAAAGGTAAAAAAAAGTGCATTAGTAAAACTATTCAAAATGAAATTATTAAACAATGTGTTAAACAAAATCAGGACTTAGTTAAAACAAGAATTAAATTTTTTTTTTTTTTTTTTACTGCGTCAGTTTTGGTGAAATACAGGATGCCAATCATAGTAATCAAATGACAGGAGAAAAAAGAAATGAAATGTTGTAACTGTGAAATGTTAGAAATGTTGTAATTGTGAAATCCTGGAAGATTGTTTTTGTTTTGTAAATTGCCATACTGAAAATTATTCTGATTTTTATTTCTATTAACTGAAGAATCTCTAGCAAACTCAGTAGAACAAACACCAAATACAAAATTTGATTTAAACTTAAAGATTTTGTTGGTATAGTAACTGATGTTTGCACTATTATTTTAGATGAAAACAAAGAAAGTCACACAATTACATAAAAGCTTAACAAGTGCAATAAAATGTCTATGTTACAACCATGCTCTAAACTTATCAGTTTCCAAATACTTGTTCGTAAAAAACTGTCAAAAATACAATTAACACAATAAAAAAAGTAGTACTATTTTATAAGGCTTTGCTAAAGCGAAGTAACCTTGGTAACCTACTTAAACATTTTAATCAGGCAATGCTTAAAAGTCTATGTGAAATGAGATTGAACGATATAACTCAGTGTTAAATTTTGATAAAAGTATCAAAATTTTTTGCCTCAGTGGAATAAATGGGAATTTAAAAAAAAACTTGCATTACTAAAAAAATGCAAAATCTGAGCTTTTATTTGAAATAACACTTTGTTTATTAGGCACACTGTAAAATACTTTAAGTAAAGCTCTTCAATTAATAGAGTCTCCAAAAAAATCAGAATAAAACCTCTTAACCTTAAAAATAAGAAAAATCCAAAAAATAATGTGCAAGATGTAGGAAGAAAGGTTAAGATTTGAATTTTCAACTTAGCAATTGTTTGAAATTATCATTAAAGAACTTTTTTACATGAACGAGTAGGTTTGACAATATTTGACGGAGAGACAGTGCCGGAACAAGAAGGGGGGGCTAGGGTTATAGCCCCGGGCCCAACAAATATAGGGGCCCCCAAAAATTTTAGAGGAACTTTTTTTTTTTTTAAGTCATTTTTAGGCTTTAACCCATAAAAAGGCCTCCAAAAACAAAAATGGCCCCGAGCCTTAAGAAGTCTTATTCTGCCATTGCGGAGAGATATCGAAGCCTTAAATCTGGATTTAAAAACCATGAAAATACTGCGAAATTGGTTTTTTGTTGAACTGGAGTTACAATTAAAATTATAATAAGACTTAAGAGGGCCCTAAACTTAGTTTGTTTAGATTTTAAACTTGACAAAGAAACTACCAAACCTAATAGTAAATAAGTAATCCTCGTATACAATGTGCACAGTTGGAAACATACTTCGGAAACATGTAACTCGGAGTTTGATTTTCTCATGGATTACTTGAACGGGTTTTCACTTTTTTCACTGGTTTTTATTACTCCGCTCCAATTGAAAACCGGTTCTGCAGAAATGGTAACCAAATCAAATATTTTTAAATCAATCAATCCATCAATAATGTATCTTTGCGTGGTTAATATGTAAAATGTAAACATAGTCATCTTGTATATAATGCAAAGATTATGTATACAGTGATAAGATTATAATGATTGCATAAGAAGTCTTTTAAACAAAACAATCTATGAGAATATATTACGTACAAAAAAGATTGACAATGAATTTTGAAATAAAGTTGTTGCAATTTTTGCTGTTTTTGTTCGGTACGATAAATAAGTTTAAGTTAAAACGCTTTTATTTTAAATTTATTTTTTGTTTTAGCTATGAGGCTAAACAAAACTGCTAGTGTCTAAAATGTTTTTTACTTTACTTTATTGTTCTAGTTTTTTTGCACACAAAAAAAAGTTATTAAATGTTGAATTCAACTTTGATTTAAAGTTTTTTTAATTTATTTTAGTACACCATCTTTTTTGTTATGGAAAGCAATACACTGCATATTTCAATGAAAATGATCTTCAAGGAAAAATTGTTTTCATTCAAGCAAATGAAGGCGAGAATGTTACTGTTCAAGTTAATTTCAATGTTGATGTTTCCAATTTTAACTGGATTATAGTTAACAAACCATTATACTATGGGTTAAGTATTTGTCAAGATATGCAACCACAAAATGGAAGAGTTTTAAATGTGGTTAATAATAATAATAGTTATAGTTTTGTAAGTCCAATTACGCTTTATGGAAATAATAGTATTTATGGGAGTACACTGATCTTAGGTAATAACATTGTAAATCAATCTGTAGCGTGTGGTACAATTTTGTCAGACAATGATATATACTCTTTTGTACAAATTTCTAGTTCTGTGGTTGCAGGTAGTATACATTTTTTACAAAGCAATGATTTGACAATGATTTATGCATCACTTGGAGCATCTGATGGGACTTTAATCTCTGTACAATATGATTGGTTCATATCACCATTTAGTGTTTGTTCTAATTTAAATGTAAGGATAAAGGATTTAACTGGGATGTTTGGATATCTGTCAAGTGAAACTTTTTTTTGGCAACTTACTTCAAATATTAGTGCAAGTGATATTGTTGGTATGACACTTAACATTATGGACAAATCAGGCATTATAATTAGTTGCAGCAAAATAAAACAAAATGGACCATTAAAATCTCAAGCCATTTTTCCTTCAACAGCTTCCACAACAAGTGGAAACTTTGTTTTTACACAATTATCACCTTTTCATCCTACATTTGTAGAAATTACCTTACATGGCCTTGACAGCCAATTAAATGGTTACCATATTCACATGTTTCCTATATCTGACAACAACAATAAATGCTCTCAATCAAGCATTGGTGGTCATTTTAATCCTTATCAAGTTAATGCTTCAACAAGTCCACAACCTGGAAAAGGTTAAATTATTAATTAAATAATAATTGAAACCTTTTGTTTGTATGTAGAATCAGAATTACATAAATAAATTAATATAAGTAATAACATATATTATATATATGTAAAAATTTTGGTGAACCATATATATTTTATAAAGCTGGAGACTTGAACCTACATGTGTGATTTTAGTATAATTGTTATGTTATTGTTAAGTATTGCATACTTCACCTGTTTAAAGTATTGGGTTGGTGCATAGTTATCAGTTGTTTTTATGATCACATTTTTTGTTAGTAATCGATTATCTGAGTAAAGCAGAAATTGAAGAAAATCTTTTAGATAGTCAAGAATTTTTATTTTTTAATTAAATTTCAATTTAGATAGTCTAGAAGTTTTATTTTTTAATTAAATTTTTAATTAGATAGTCTAGAAGTTTTATATTACAATATCACGATCCTTGTGGTCGAATGACTAAGTTTTTATGATGCCATTTTCTTATTTATATAGAACATGGAAAAGTTAAAGCAATTTTTTACAACTAAATACCTTGCATCCTTGTTTTTCAATCAAGCCACTACTAAATTTATATTTGGCTCACAAAAAAATTTTATGGCTATAAAAATATAATTATTATTATTGTTTATTAAAAAATAATTGCTGTGATTTAACTTGTGTTATAAAAAAAAAGTTTAATTTATGTTTTGTGCAAATTTTTATGCAGCCATTTATTTAAAATTTATATTTAAGTAAAAAAAAATGTTTAAAAAAATCATTAAAAAAAAAAAAGTAAAGATTTATTTTTTGTTCATTATAGATGCAAAAAATTAAATAATTTTGTTGTCATAGGATGTTTTCTGACCAATATCAATATTGTTCACAAAGCAGAATAGTGAAAAATTTGGAATAAGAAAAAAAACCCATTAAAACAATTAATAAGTCAACTCCATGCAATTGAGTTACCCCTTCATTACCTTTTAAATTATTTAAATAAACCTATCATCTTGTCCTTGATGATTTTTAAAGTAGTTGGAAAGCTAATATCAAACTTTTACAAAGTTGTTGAAAAAATGTTGCTCCTTATTGTACCAATTGATGTAGATCTATCTGACATGTATTAGACTAAATGGATTAAAAGTATCTTTATGATATTTGTAAAGTTATTGCTAATGAATTTTGCTCCCCAGACTTTGCTTTCGTTGATTTGCTAAATTGTTAACAATAGCATCAATGTTTCGTTTACCAAATACTTCTTAGAAATTGATTACTATTTTAACATTTATTGTGAAAGTGTATGCAACTGTTTAGTTTTTAATTAAAGCTTATTCGTCTTGGTGGTGCCAATTATGTTCGGCTAATCATTCATAATTCTTGCTATTTGTCCGATGACACAAAATAGTAATTGACCTAATAATTTAGCACTTCTTTTAAACATCCTGAAAATAATCTTTTGTGTATGCTTTCAAACAAAAAGAAGAATATTTCAGAGCTTGCTATGAGGTTAATCTTCTCATAACATATTGCTAAGATCTTCATGCAAGATTTGAGCAATATGCTAAAATCTTCATGCAAGATCTTAGCATAATGCTAAGATCTTCATGCAAGATGTGAGCAATATGTTATGAGAACATTAAAAAATCCGAAATTGAAATTTGCTGCAGAAGAGAATATTGTTAATATCAATTGGCAAAATAAAGTGTTTTCTGAACCCTTAATTCTTTCCAACTATACTGCTGAACATATTAAAATATTTATGAGTTTTTGTGATACATCACAGATTGGTTTTCCTAAATATCCTTCCCACACACAAGCAGTGGAGCATTATGTAAAGTTCGTAACAAAAGCATGTTGATTAGTTTGAGTTGTTGAAGCAAGAGATTTTTTCCTGTAAGTCATGAATCCTCCAAAGCAGATTTTTCACTCAAAATAAAAAAACTATAGTCCTGATTAAACAGTTGCAGTGTTGATTATTGTTTATTTTGAACATTAAAATTATGAACATTTTTAGTATTACAAAGTATTATGAACATATTTAGTATTACAAAGTTCATAGTTTCAAGATTATAAGAATTAAATTAAGTTATTCTTGTAACCTTTGACATCACAATGTTAATTTTTTTTAAGCATTATCATAAAACTATAACTTAAATAATTTGTTTAATCATTTTGTACTTTGTGTTATTGTTTTGTTTTTGAAAGCTTTACTAACAAAACTTACCACAACAAATTTAAAATCTGAAAAAATGCATTGTTACATTATCACCACTGTCAAAGAAAAGTATTTGTATTTCATTAATATATACCAACATTTATAATAATTAAAACAATATCATTAAACTGAAAGTCTATTAAGTTTGTACTTATTTAGGTTCATACGAAAAATATGAAGCAGGTAACCTGAGTGGGAAGTATGGCACATTACTTGGAAAAAACAACTTTTCTTTGCAAATTGTGGATGTCAGTATACAATTGTATGGCTTTAATACCATAATAGGGCGATCAGTGGTATTGCATAGGACAAATGGTTCGCACTATATATGTGCTAATATTGAACCTGATGGATCAAAAATGATATCTTTATTAGTTAATTATACAGCTAATTCTAAATCTATCCTTGATGGACAAGTTTTGCTGGTAAGTTTATTTTTTCTTGAAAAAAAAATCTCTAAAATTGCTGCTTCAAATAAATTTAAAGAATTTCTTATAAAATGCACAAAATTTTTGTTTTTGTTTTGTCTATTATGTTTAACGCAGTGTAATTAGTTATCTTCCATTTGCTTGCAGTTATATGTCATCTCCCATTTGCTTGCAGTTATACGTTATCTCCCATTTGCTTGCAGTTATACGTCATCTCCCATTTGCTTGCAATTATACGTCATCTAGATATTTTTAATTAAACTAGCAGTTTTTTTGAACTTACACCACACATTAGTTTCAAAAATTAAATTTTTTTACCAAGTTAAAAATATTTTATTTTTGTTATATCTATAGGAATAAATTATTTATAAGCAATATTTAATTGTTTAAATCAAAGATAAATATCAAACACTTATCAGTATTGCATCCTTGTTTTTGTGCATGCACCAATCGGTAATGTATCGTAAATTGCTGAATACTGAAATTCTTAAGTGTAGCTAGTTCTCTTAAAATCTTTATTTATTTTACAAGTTGATTGAACATTAATTCAAAATAGTTTTGTGGAACTTTACAATATGTTTAAATTTGTATTGTGCAAATGTAGAAATAATTATTCTCTGTTATAAGATTTATATTCAAAAATAGTGTTGCCCTCGAATGTCAAAGCTGTGTTGCAATTTTTTTTTCTATATTTGTTTTTCCAAATAAAACTACAGTACTGTCAAGAATTCTACTTGTTTTGTTTCACAAACAAGTAGAAACCTAAAATATTGCCAGCAGCATGATAGTGTAAAAATATTGCCAGCAGCATATTATTATTGTTCTGAAGATCTCTTTTTGATTATCTGCGGATTTTTTTATATTTAATATTATATTTTTAATTTTTCAGCTACAATACATTCAAGCAAATAATGTTTTAACTCCAACTTTGATTATTGTTAATGTTAATTATAGAAATGACTCAAAAATAGTAAGGGTTTTATATTTGTACATAAATTTTTTGTATATATTTTATTTTAGTTTTTATGTATGTTATAAATAATTTTTTTATAGACTTTAAATCATAATTTTCATGTCCATGAGCTGGCAATTGGTGATGATACTAGTGTTTGCAGTAGTGTATTAGGTCACTATAATCCTGCTAAAGTAAATATTAACCAGGTATTTCTTAAATGCATTTTTTTAAATATGCAATTTTATATATATATATATATATATATATATATATATATATATATATATATATATATATTACTGTAATATAAGAGGTGTAAGGTTTTGGATTACATCAGTACCCAGATGTAATCCCATACCGTTTGACCGGTATGGGCACCCTAACTAATGCTCCCAAATAAAAAGTCTATAAGTTATAAATTTCAAATATTAACAAGGCTCAATTTAATGGTCGGACATTGGACATAGTCCGGCTAAAACCTCAGATTGTCTGATCAACTTACTAAATAATCTGACATTTTGACCAACAGGAATTAAATTCTACAAAATAAAGCTTAGACAGGAATGGCATGCGATCGAATGCAATTGCTGACCATGCAAATGATTTTTTCTGGTGACAACTTGACCATGACTGTTTAGATGTTTTGATGATTTAAACGTTTTAGAAATGTGCTGATATAAGCAAAACTTAAACTAGGAAAAAAAATTAAAAATTGAAAAAATAAGCAAAACTCCGAAAAAGAAAATAAATTAGTTTTAAAATAAAACTAAAAAAACTTGAAGTTAAAATTACTCTTTCGTTACGTTTTTAATCGCTTTCGAAAAAAAAAATTACTTTAAAACTTATCTTTTAAAACGTTTAATTAAAGTTACGCAAAACACTTTAACAAATGGTTATTTAATAAATTTATTAAATTCATTTCCTTTCATTAAATTCATTGAATTCATTTCATTTATAAATGAACAAATTTTATTAAAATTATTGAAAAGAAAAAAATATTTTTCTCAACATTTCTTTTAAAAAGTTGCACACAAAAAAAATTGTTTAAAAAAATAATGTAATCTTTTTAAAATTATAATTTTTAATCATTTCATGTTTTAATTAGTAAGTAAAGTTAAAAAAAAACAAAAAACTTTCAAACAATTCTTTGTAAAAGTAAAATAAAAAAATAAAAAAAATAAAGCAATTAAATCATAGGAATACTTAATTTAACTTATTCATAATTTAAAGTAACTTAGAAAAATAAAATTTTAAAAAATTTTTAGAAGAAAAAATAGTTTCAAACATTTAAATTTATCATAAAAAATACATGCCTACTAAAAAAATTAAAATACAACATTTAAATTATGCATAATATGTTTATTTTAAGCGATCATTATAATTAAATTTTGTTTTTATTTAAAGCCTTTGCTGTTGAGAGCTTTTTAATATTAGTTTAAAATAATATAAATATATATCTTTTAGTTATTATTTTTTAATTTAAGTATTTATATTTTTTAATTATTTTTCTAACTGGCATGAGTTGTGATTTTTTCTCTCATACTCATAATGTGAGTATGAGAGAAAAAATCACAACTCATGCCAGTATCAATTGTAACCAATCTGAATGTTTTAAGCTAATCCATATATTCATCATCAAATGTTGCAGCTATTCAGGTTGATTATGCAGAAAGTTTTAAGTACTTTTGTCAGAATGAGCCTCAAGCTGCACACTATGGACATAATCAAAATTTTAACAATAAGTATTAATAAGTTGTCATTAAAGTAATTTTTTAAAGTTGCTCTTGGTCTTGTGGAAAAAACTGTAATCGATTTGATAATATTCATAAATGTTATAGAAAATCACTCAGGAAGAGTGCCACCAGTTATTTAAAATTTGCATTTCTTTTGTTATGTAACTATAAAAAATCTAACCCTTTATAATAGATATAAAAAATCCATGATAATTATCACTCAGTAATGTAAGTGATGTTAAATATATAGTCTCAAGAAAACAACTTTCCCTTAGCTGGAAAACTCAGCATATTGTGAAAATTTCCAATGCAATCCGCATTACTGATTCGCAGAAATCTGGATTAAAAGTTGAAAAAATGTTTTTATATTTTTTTATGGGTAATGTAAGTTAGTTAAGTGATATTTTTGGTAATTTGCCCTCTTTTAGCCAGATTCAAAACTTTTTAGCTTATTTTATTTTTCAGACAAACAGTTTTTGTACAAAATAGCTAATAATTTAATTTACAATTAGTTAATTAATTAATTAGACAAATGTTTGATAAAGTTGATGTGTTTGTAACAAGGCGTACTTAAATAAAAGGCCTTCTCATCGCGCAACGGCTTGAAAAATGTGGAGGCTGATTTGGTTTTGATGCTCTCAACTATTAAACAATTTTTTTTTTAAGTTTTAAATATTTAAAAATTCTTTTAACAATATAGTAGAAGCTTGTGATTTGATTATTTTAGTCTGTTTCTCTAAATGCATAACCTGATTAAAAAACTAAGGATAAGAAGAATGTAAGGCTTAAACCATGCCATTTTTTACTAAATAATATTTTATCATTTTATAAAGAAGTCGATATTTTTATTACAAAAACGTTTATAAAACAAAAATAATTGTTATTTTGTCAAGAAAGTGAAAAAAAAACAACACCTTGTAAGTTCAAAAATAACAATAACAAATGAAAACCAAGCTACTTCTATGTATTTGCATACAATGAAACATTAACAGAAAGAATTAAAAAGTAAAAATATAAATTAACAATTTTTAAACGAAATATCATCTAAAGTTAAATTGGAAACTTTTTATGGTATATTTATTCACAAAAGCTAACAAAACAGTTTCAAAGCTTTAACTTTGGTTTCCTTGTCTGATGCAGGTGAATGCATATAGCAAAAATTGTTAAATAATATATTTGTAAGAATATAACAATGGTTTCTTGTAATTATGGTGAAACCATAAATACATGCAATATCCATGAATAAGCAGGACAGAATATCTACAAAAGTTTGATGTGCCAACAAAATTAAACAAAATGTAACTTAAAAATACCCATTCACAAAATGTATCACTGGGTATTTTCAGACCACCACGATCTAAGGCAGATGTAAAATTTCCATAATTACTATAATATTATTATATATATATATATACATGATACATCGTTATCATCTTCATATTATATATATATATATACATATATATATATAAATATATATATTATATATTTATTTATTTATATATATATATATATATATATAAGATAATACAGATAAGTGTCATCGTTATCATCTTCATTGTCTTTTCTAGAAATATAACCTGCAATGTAAACTAAAGATGACTTAATATTCGATGAAAGTTGGTCTAAAAGTTCATGTAAATGATTAAACATCTCACACTCATCTTCTGAAAGTTTATAAAAAACAATTATCACAAATATATATATAAATATATATATATATATATATATTATATATATATATAAATATATATATATATATATATATATATATAAATATATATATATATATATATATATATATATATATATATATATATATATATATATATATATATATAAATAAATATATATATATACATATTATATATATTAATATATATATATATATTTATTTATTTATATATATATATATATATATATAAGATAATACAGATAAGTGTCATCGTTATCATCTTCATTGTCTTTTCTAGAAATATAACCTGCAATGTAAACTAAAGATGACTTAATATTCGATGAAAGTTGGTCTAAAAGTTCATGTAAATGATTAAACATCTCACACTCATCTTCTGAAAGTTTATAAAAACAATTATCACAAATATGACCAGATGTAAACTCAGCACTTGAAATGTTGATAGTTTTCTGAAGAAATAGTTTGGTTTTGTTGATATTCCACTTTTCAATTACTTGTTGAGTATTTTATAAAATAAGTTCCCCCACTACCTTGTCTGAGTTTTCCAAATGCTCTTTCTATGGGGTCTGTTGTAAAATTCCCAAGCAGTACATACATTTGAGAATTGTCTAACAAATGCTTACTTAGTTCAACTAAACCAATACAAGTTTGATATAATGCATTGCTTGTATCCATGGTTATACTTCTAATTCTTTTTCCTTGAATCAATGTTGGCTTTAACATTTCAGAAAACTCAATTAAATCATTTAATCGTAAATCATCAACATTTGATATGGGAGCTCGTAAGTTGTCTTTCAAATGGATTTCTTCGGATGGACTTTTAACGTTGACTATTTTCCAAAATTGAACCACCTTAGTTAAAAAAATAATAGTTCCATCAATATCATCATCTTTCATACCTTGATGACACTTTAATGCATTTATAGTCTCTTCACAAAAAACTTTTAAACATGTATCAACTTTTTGTCTCTCAATTGCCTTGGGTTAACAGCAACATAAGTCAACTTAGACATTTTAACCAATTCACCTTCTTCTAACTTTTGAAGCTTTTTGATGTGATCCCATTTAGCATTATATTTTTTTCCTCTATAACTAAACTCAATTTCACCAGACTTTTCAGTTATCCAATTATACACTTTATTAAATGCACAAAATCAAAGAGTAAAAAAATGCCATCAGTTGTTAACCATGGAAATATGCAATCAAATCGTTTGAAAAATGCTTGATTTACTCTATTATTATCATTAATTAAAGCAATAACTTTTCCATTTGCCTTCATAATTTGGTTGATTAAGATAATAGTTTGATCATATAAAAAATCTGCATCTAAATTATTTACTGGTAACATTTTAACTAAAAATTTTGGTCCTCCATAAAAACATACAACCATGAAAGCCAATACAGTTTTTGCAAGATTTGATTCATCATTTACTGCTTTACCAAACAACTGTCCTCCATGATAAGTTAGCATAGGTTTAACATAAACTTCATCTAATAATAGTATACAATGTTTTTGACCATTGTTGAGTTTTGAAAAAACACTACAAATAAAAGTATTATCATCAAAGTGTGAAACTTTTGAAGTTAAACGTGTAAGGGTAGCAATACTAGGAAGTTGAAAATCTTAATTGATTGTATAAACTATGTGACTGTGCAAAATACTCAAAAGCTCGAACAATTACTTCAGGCAAATATTTTTGCTTAAGAATATTACTTGAGTTCATGTTACTCATGCATTCAAATTGCTGAATTAAAACTGTTTTCTTTTCTGACTTTTCAAAGGAAATCAAATATCGTAATGCCTCATGAACTTGTGACCAACATTTGAACTTATGAATACGATTTTTAACTAAGGAAGCAATAGTGCATCTTACTCCAGCATGATAGGCTTCATATGATAAGTCATTAAATACTATTAAACAAATTTATTAATACCAGTATTGTTTTCATGCTCTTTTGATTGAATACAACAGCTATTTAAACAATTATAATAAACAACTGAATCATTAAGTTTTTCTAGAGATAACGAATTACAAAATTTTTCGAATGAATCAATTTTGTAAAGCTCTTCGAATTTTGAAAGTTCATCTTCTTTTATTGATCTTACAGAGCTTTTGGATTTTGTTGTTGTTCTTTTTTCTGGTGGAGGAGTTGGCACTAAACTCTTGGGTATTTGTTCGAATACACTAGGTGGATCTCGAGGTCTTTCTCTTCCTTTTACTTTAATAACTTGGAAGTTTGGTAGAAAATGTTTTGCACAAACTACAGTGTCATGT